GACTTCTTCTCTGGCCTTTTCTGCAACATCAGCCCGCTCAATCTGAGATTTAATAAATAATAACATATTTTCCAACACAGTGGACAAATAACAACTGCGGCGTTCATAGGACAAAATGGTTATCAACTAAGTTAGATCGGGCCGATCAGGAAAGTAATTGGTTCTTGGTCACAATGTAGAGAACTACGTACGCTCTGCCCGTTTTTTATGACCTCAAGATTAACATTCCCCTGTCTGGCCCTCCCACCCAATCGCTAACTATATATCTCTATATGATAATTGCTACTTGGTGATTTCAAAAAAGTAATCTGATTGGTTTGCTATTTCGCGCTAATGAACCTTATTCACCCCTTGGGGCGAAAATAATGCGCTATTTTGAAACTAGTAAAAAAAATAGCTGGGATTAACTCGTATTTCGCTGATGACGGCTATTCAGAAAAACGCAAAACGGTAACCAACGTTAGGCTAAGAGATTTCCTACACAAGGCCTATTTTTTCAGTCTCAACCGTGGGTATATCGTCCGCATCAGCTAAATCAAGCAAGTGCGCGCAGTAGCAGAACCTCCACGAGACTATGCTTTATCGGCATAGCTAAATTATCCTTGTTTCTCAATTCCAGAATTAATAATTTTATTTTGAAAAAAACATTTATCGGCAAATGGTACTACTGTACATAGTTATACGTCCTACATATTTCCTTACGTCCAAAGATCTTCCAAAATATATGAAAAAGTAGAATGGAAACTTTTCAGTCTTGTCCCATTTCGAATGTGAACTAATTTTAACTTTCCAGCCATGAGGCTTAGAAAAAGAGGTTCTCTGTTGGGACATACGGTGAATGGCATTTCAAACTGAGAATCATGCAATAGATGGGTAAAAAAATCACAAAGTTCAAGGTGACAATAATTAGGTAAATTATTGCAATAACGGCGCAGTGAAATTTCATCGTTATCCTTTCGCTCCACTGGACAAAAACAAATTTTAGCTTGAGGAGAGTCGAAAAAAGAACAAAGGTGCAGAATCATTGGAATATTTTTGACATGTGCCCCAGAATTTTTTCATGGGCCAAAAATTAAGGCACTTTTCCCTGTGAAGAGCTATTGAGATCAGCCACCATAGATTTACGAGTCTTGAACATGACTTGCCTTTTTACTGACGGTGACCATTTTCATCTTGCTGGCCACAGCTAGTAGGTTGCGACAATTTGATCAGTACTAATCAATTAATTCTCCTTTCTTTTGATTTTGCGCTTACTTTTGCGCTCTGGAATTGTAGTTAATTTAATAATCAGTATATAATGGTTTCATTGCCTCTTTAGCTAGGGGCAGAACTTCAAAAAACCCTATCAATTCGTAAGCAGAACCTGCTAGTTCCCGTCTAACGTATCCAGTCAAGTAATGCAAAATTCATTCGCTGAACATTTATGCCCCCAATGGCTGTATTCAATAGTATTTTGATCATTCAAACAAATGTCCCCTTGAAGATGGGTTTTTGTGCATAAAAATGCTACCATTTGGATCACAGCGTTGCAACTTTGCCTTTTCGTACTTTAAAACTTGATGAAACTTTAAATCACTCCCTTACTTGGCCGTTTTATGACCACAATCAGATATAATAGGATAACTTAGTTTACCAACGGAGTTGATAACGTAAATTGGCCACCAAACATTGTCAAAAACACGACCAATGATCTTAGAGCTGAACAAGAGCTGCCGGCCACTGCAAAAAATCTCACCATCACCTCTCCTAGAACTGGCACCTACCGTCAAAACCTTAACATCAAACATTAAGGAAAGCCGACACGCACTTGAATTTTTTCGCGACTTACATTTCCTTGGCCGGAAATGGTGGCCAGGACATACTTCTTTTCACTATGAATATTACATCTTTTTATACTGTCCTTCCCAAGACGAAGGTCTCCTGGCCCTCATATATTTCTCGATCAACGCACAGTTGGGGAACCTAGCTCTAAAACACTACTTCGTCTAGGCGAACTATTACTAACACTCAACTGTTTTTTATTCGGTGGCAACTACTACAAACAAACTAATGGCGTAGCCATGGGGCCCAAAATGAGACCCAGCTACGCCAATCTCTACATTGGTGTTATCGAACATCAATTTTTAAGTCAATAAAACGGCCCCAAACTTGAACTTTATGGTTGCACATTGACAACTGCATCGGCGCTACCTCCTCTGACAGAGAGGAGCTCACTTAATTTATAACCCCCGTCAGTTCCTTTCACCCGGCTCTGAAATATACCTGGCAAATTTCCGACACTTAGTTGGCTTTTCTAGGCATAAACATTTCAGTTGACGGCAATGATCTCTGCACTAGTGTTTACTACAAACCTACAGACTCAAACACATAGTCACTTCTTGTATTCATCTTCACATCCATCACACATCAAGAATTCCATACTTTTTTCACAATTTCTCAGACTTTGTTGTTTATGTGGTGACGACTCTGATTTTCCGAAATATCAGAGGCAATGTGCTAGTTTTTGATAAAGGTGGCTATTCTGTTTCTGTCGTTCAAGTGGGCCACCACCGAGCCCAGTAAATTGATCGATAGTCAGTATTAACGGTCATGGAGAGGTTTGGCGGGGGACTGGCACTAACAAAAATTATCAGTGCCAAACCCCTAAGAACGCCAAGGACCGCTCGCTGGCTAAAAGGCTTGAATGTACTGAAAAACGATTCATGGCAAACAATTAATCTATACTTTTCCAATAATTTCAATCACTTCATCAAATTTGTTCCCAAAACGTACTCTCAAAATGAGCCCCATAAAAGTGTTCTTAAATTATGCCACTTGAGTGTGCATTACGAAGTAAATTATAATTTAAAAAACAACGGTGCTTTCTTTCCTCCATGAACTGACCTTTTGTTTCTTGATGACAGGCTGTCAGCTCTTCGTGCTCTTCGATGAATTATCAAACGATTGCACTCTGGTAGAAAGTTTATTTTAATTTTTTTTCCTTGTGTATTCCTAGGCTTGAAGGAAGCTACGGAATTTGAGAAGTCAAAGACCGAAACTATCAACAAAGCCAACGGTTGTTGATTACATGGAGTAATATATTACTTGGGCGTTGAATGATTAACTTGGCTAGACATAACACTGCAAAGAGAAATGGCAGCTCCAAATTCCAAACACAACATTACGTTTTGTTCTTTCTCCTGGTAACCGTTTAAAACTCTCCAAAGAATAATTGCGAAACCACCATATGCATGGTAATGAAGAAAAAAATTATTTCGTGAAAATGTATGTTGTGTTACCCTCTTGTCCGGCCACAGGATGGTCATAAAACGAAAAGACATCTACTCAAGTTTCACAAGGGGCTTATTCAGGCTTAGTTCTCGCGCGCACACGAACGACTCATTGGCCAAGGACTCTGTTGCCATTTTGCCTCTTCTAGATGGTCAGAGACTAGTGTCATTGGCAGTCAACTGAGCGAGGACGAAACATGCTTCGTATAACTTTCCTTCGCGTCCTGCTGCTCGGTTTGTTTGGGATTTCAGCGACAACAGCACGTAAGTATGTTTTTCAGTGTTGTTCTGGTAACGTGACTAGTAATCTAATGGCATCGCTGAAGTCGCTACGGATTCTTTCTATTAAACCGTACTTTACACGATCGAAGAGTTTTATAAAGCTTATGTTTTAAATTAATATTTTGCTCAGGGTTATAACAAAGAAAAACGCTCAAATCTATCATCAAGCTTTACGGGAATTGCACATTTGGGCTCGTCAAACATAATGACCTTTTGTTAACTCCGTATTAAATGGTCTTTCGTTGAGTAGAGCGCCATCACCGCTATGCAAGTCGTTTAAATTTTGATCCACGCTGTTCCTAACTTTTGAAATCGATAAGGTTCCTTCTATGTCCTTTTAAGGCTCCTTCCCCTAACCAACATTAACAATGGTTTGACAAAGAAGTATTTGATTGATTTATAAACCTAGACAGTCCGCTTTGTATGAAACCCTGGAGCGAACAGATAAAGTTTACAGAGTTGATAAAATGAAGGGAGTTTATTTCGTTCATCGCTACAGTTACACAAAGAGCCAAAGGGTTCTAATTTGGTATGAGGTGACAGGATATATTCGCAAGAGTCTCCCACAGAAAATGTAATTTCAAAAGTGAGATAGATGGAATACTTGCTTATGAATATTGAATTACTTCAGAAGAGAGCTTCTGTACATATGTGTTTCGTACCTCTAGCTTATTCAGGTTGTAGATTTAGCTTTCGGTGGAAAACAACGAAGAGATAGAAGTGCTTTAAGTAAAAAGAAATCCACTGCGCTGCTAACCCAAAGAATACACTATTACACCACGTCACGCAACACCCTTGTGGATTGTGACGTGTGAACAAAACAGCAGTTGTCACCATTACAAAAGAAGAGTGGGAAACATTAGCTTTTTTTCGATGGCGAATCTTTTATTTAATAGAGAGTTAAGGCTCGCGGAAGACACCCTCAGTATTAAAAAAATTGCTCATTTTATTGTTTCCAAACTCGAGAATCCTTAACCCTTGAACCCCTAAGAGTGGCAAGGGTCTAATTTCTCCTTACAATATCACCCCTGAATCAAATTTTTAAGTCGTGAGAATAAAGGAAATGATCAGGAACTAACGAAGATCTTGGTGGTTTTATAAATTCTCCTTTTAAGAACCTAAGTAATGTATAGAGAACAGTATGGAGAATATGCATACTGATGTTAGGATGTAAAGAGTTAATAGGGTGAACAACGGAAATTTGTCAAAAATATCCCTATAAACCATTTGACCCCTAGGAGTGACTAGCATTAAATTTCTCCCTACAATAACACTCCTGAATCAAACATTAAGGTCGCGAGAATAAAGGAAATCATCACCAACTAAAAAGCTCTTGATCATTGAACAAATTCTCCCCGTCAGCGCCTTAGTAGATGTATAGAGAACAGTAAAGAGAATATGCATACTGATGTAAGTTTGCAAAAGGGTTATGTTTTGTTTTTCCATTTGTTTTTCATTCAAACAGAGCGATTGGATGACCCATGTATTCTTGACCTGGCATTCATCATAGACGCATCTGGTAGCATCGAGCCTTATTGGGAAGATGTTCGGAAGTTTGCCGCCGGAGTCGCGAAACTGGTGAACATATCGTCCGATGGATCCCATGTTGGAGCGGTTAAGTTCGGCGAGACATCCAAAATAGAATTTGGGTTCAATGAAGGGCAAAACGAAAACACTGTTGTTCGAAATTTGCTTAATCTAGATCCCCCTGTTCCGGGTTCAAGAACCATGCTGCACTCAGCGCTCGAAAAAGCAAACGACGACCTTTTCAACCCACAGACAAATAGCTTCCGAGAAGATCCCAATGTACGGAAGGTAAGGCGGTTTATTTCACCATTAATGGAAATTTAAACGTCCGAAGAAAACTCGAAACTTTCGAACACAAAGCTTGTTTATTCAAGAACTTTGTAACGTATCTTGTTTTGAGCTTTACCAAAAAAGTTCTACGTTTTTAAAACACTGTCTCTTACTGGCTAACGAGGTTGTTTGTAACTCATGTGAGATAACTTGGTTCTGACAGCCTAATAGTACGCCACCAATCATATTGCTTAGTCATTGCAAATTCTGGGCATGCGCAATCTGTTGTGTTATGAGTACCTCAAGGCACGAAGCAGATAAGAACTAGAAAGGAGGGAAAAACCATTTTTTCCTCACAGCCAGACATGGACACCTGATATTTAACCATACTTTTCTTTCTTTTTTTACGTAAAGAATGGAAAAGTCACAGGCAATAAAGTTAATCTTACTGTAATGACTTAATTTCTGCATGCCTCTCTGGATCAATATTAGTATCTGGGCAACTGCCCACCTACTCCTCCTCTAATCCTTCACCGCTAGCTAGGTCGTTTTAATCAATTTGTCCTCACGGCCAGACATGGACACCTGATGTTTAACCCTTTCACTCCCAAGATCTAATTAGTAATTCTCCTTACTATCTGCCATACAATTCCTATGATGTTAGTTCAGAGAATTTGGTATTGGATCAACTAATGATCCCATAATTCATATTCTTCTCTATTCTCATCACCTGCCTGCCTGATATTGTATTCACACTGTAAGGAGAAATTCTGTCTTGGTCACTTGTGGGAGTGAAAGGGTTAACCAATTTTTTTTTTTACGTAACGGGTGGAAGAGTGACAGGCAATGAAATTAATCTTACTGCAATGACTTAATTTCTGCATGGCGTTCTTTCCCTCTAGGTTGTTTTAATTATAACTGATGGTGCGCAAACCCCTCCAGAAAAACCTGACATACCAGCTGACAAACTGAAAAAAAGGGGTTTTGAGATTTACGCCATCGGTGCCGGAGATGCCAAATCACATTACAGGGAATTGGATATGTTAAGAAACAAAGATTTGTTCTTTGTCAAAAGGCCGAGTGAACTTCCAACGAAAGTTGTCGATGTGGCACAAGCACTCTGTCCGAGTAAGTTATAAGATAATTGGGCCACTGTAGAGAGAGATACTAAAGCTGATATTTCGAGCGTTAGCTCTTCGTCAGAGCGAATGCTGACGACAAAGAGCTAACGCTTTAAAAGTCAGCTTTAGAAATGCTTAACAGTGGCTAATTTACATTAACAACTCAGTTGGTGAGACCAAATTATTTTGTTATACCCTCCACAGACACAGCACTACAGTTTCTTTGGAAATTTACCCCCGTTATTCAAATCATGACCTATTCCTCAGTTTGCTGATTTGTTTTAATCGTTAATTTGGGTATTTTTAAGTATCGCTTGTAGAAGCTTTAACTTTTTACTCTTCAAAAACCTCATATGTGAAACTAAAATGGTTAATCTATGACTGGTAAAATTTCGTGAGCCTTTTCCTTCCCAGATCTAAGTGGACACTCGCACGGGTGAATGCCGTAAACTTCAGTAAACGTTTAAGCAGAGATTTTGGCATCACAAAGCCTAGATTTTTATATCATCCGGTTGATAGTTGCAATGCAAACGTTTATTAATTTGACAACGAGCTTGTATTGTTAGGAGAGCTTGCTTACTGATCACTTCTGTAAAAGAATCACTGAAGTTTTTTCTTAACTTTCATTCCTGTATTTTAGGGTCGATTGAAACCACGGTAAGTACAAACATTTATTTTTCCTTATTTACGTTTTTAACTATTCGCCAACTGTAATTTTTTAGTGAATTATCCTTGTTAACCTTTTGGTACATTTTAACTTCCTAGGTTATTGGTCCCCCAGGAGAGAGAGGAGCATTCGGCCTTCGGGTTAGTAATGTTTGATGGATAATTATTGGGATTGAAAGATTTCTCTAGAACAACTTCATCAAACACTCCAGAGCAGTAGTCCTGTTAGACGGCCCATGCACGTTCAAGCCAAATCAGAAACTGCTCCCCCACCCTCCACCCCCTCCACCCCCTACCTGTCTGCCTCTCTGCTACCGCACAGGGAGGTTAACTGGATACCTGCCAACCAAATACTCCTTGTCGCTTCACACGACAAGACACCTTTGGGTTGGTTGGGCCAACTGGGTCAGATCATTAGTAAAGTCTTTTGCCTGGAAGCAAACGTGACTAATAATGAAATAATTTCGTAATAAGAGAAGAGATATGCTGAATGCAAACCGTCCACCAGACATCATTAGTAACCGCTTTTCAGTAGAACTACTGAATTATTATGATTTTGATTTTACGTTCGGATGTCCTTTAGGGTGACGTCGGGGCACCAGGCCGTCGCGGAAGAACAGGGCCAGCCGGATTAAAGGTATTATATTTCTTTCTCTCTTACGTCTATTATGACTGTTTTCACTTTGGTTTCTGCCCATATGGGACGGGACTTGGGGTCGAGCGAGATAAGGACACAATGAATTGGCAGGAGAGGGAGAGTTCCCATCGTATGGGACGGGATCAAGGGTCGAGGCGACACAAGGGTACAATGAATTGGCAGGAGAGGGAGAGTTCCCGTTATACGGGACGGGATATGGGGTCGAGGCGACATAAGGACACAATGAATTGACAGGAGAGGGAGAGACGGTATGTTCGTTTTTGCTGGATTAGTGTTTACATCCTTAAGCATTAATATCCATATGCCTATTCTCCATACTGTTCGCTACACCTTACCTGTGGCACTAGAAAGGAGAATTTCCGGTGACCTGTACCAATTTGCTCTTCATTTCGCGCCCGTTCAGCTATTAAAGCAATATCTTGACCACCCTTCAACCCCTCTCCCCCTAAAACCAAACAAGTACACACAAAAAAAACTTACGTGGTTATGCTTTGAACATCACATTATCGATTTTGTGTCATCTTGTAGCCTTTTTTGTGGGCTTTTTCTTTATAATTGCCTCTTTGCAAGACAGTGACACATGGCAATACGTGATGGGCACCGTGGAAAGCCTTGAAACGTGACATGACGTTAGACCTCTCTTTGTCAAAACTAACTGGTTTGTGGAATGTCCTTAGGGTTTCTCAGGGGTCAAAGGTGCAATGGGCGACCTTGGAGATCCGGGGAATCCAGGCCCTCCCGGCCCCCCAGGATCGACGGCCGGGCTACCGGTGAGTTAGTATACAATGTAGTTGCTAAAAGCCAATGTGCTGTTTCAGAAAAGCTATCATCTGGTGAACAATTACATTATACCATTCACGCAGCCACTTTTATGTTCTTTCAATACTCAGCTTACAAATGTTCAACCTCGCCTTTTGTTAAGATACCTTTTTTCATTAGTTTCATCATTCTAGAGGTTTATCAGCTTCTATTCGACACTCGTATACTTATTTCATGTGTCAACCAACGTAATTCAGTATATAAAAAAAAATCGATAGAAATATTTAATCTGTAGGCAGGTATTTGATTCACCCTGCAGAGTGTTTGTTACTATGTTGCAATAATTTGTCAGGTTTGGTTTGCGCGAGAGCGAGTTTAGCCTCGTGGCCGCGGATAACTTGCACTTGAAGTTCATCTATTCGTAATTGAGGCTTTGCCAACTTAATTTCAATGAAGCGTCCATACAACCGCCACCTAGGTAGGGTTAACACTACTTCTTATTCGTGCGGGTTTCTTTGTTTTATTTTCAGAGTGTACCTGGCGAAAAAGGTCCATTAGTTCTAGTTAATGTGGTACCTGACATTCCGGGCGGGAGGGTAAGTTTTTACCAAGTGGTTCGTTGTCATGGTCGCATATTGTCACATTTTACGCAACCTTATGTATTGTTCATATACCC